GTGGGACCGGAGCAACATAGGGTGAGAGCGCGGGACGGGGGAGACAGGACGAGCACGGGAGGGGCGGCGAGACCAGACGTGAGAGGGAGGCGTCGGGTCAGGAGACAGAGGAGGGGACACTGGTGGGGAACGAGGGGGAAAACGAGCCGGGGACGAGTCCGGCGGAGGGAACACGGGGCCGTAGACGGGAAGAGGAGGAGACGGCAGGTGAGGAACAGGCGCAGGGTCAGGGGACGGAAGGCCGAGCAGACGGAGGGCGGACACCGGCGGGGACTGCTGCTGCGGCAACACAACACCAACGCCAGGGCCACAAACTGCGCGACTGCTACCTCCCGAACCCTCCACACCGGCACCCCCAGAAGGGACACCCCCAGAGCACGAAACCCCGCCGGCACCGGTACCACCCCCAGGCCCGCCGGGACAAGCCACGACAGGAGCCCCGGGACTAGTACCCACCTCAACGCCAGCACCCCCAGAGTCCACAAACAGCGGCAGCGACGACTGCGGCGGCGGCGGCGGCGGCTGCAGCGACGGCCGCGACGGCGGTGGCGGCGGAGACGACGGCTGCAACGGCGGCGGCGGTGGAGACGACGGCTGCAGCAGCTGCGGCGACGGCGGCTGCGGAGGCGGTGGAGGAGGAGACACCGGGGGAGGGACAGACGGCGAGGACTGCGCCGGAGGACTACCAGAGTCAGAAGACTCGTCGACCGGGACGACCGACGGGAGGGGGGTGACGTGAGACACACCAGAGGGGGCCGGACGGGGGGGCGGGGGGGGGGAGGGGCAGGGACCACCGGGGAAGGAGGGACCAGGAACAGGGGGGGAGTAACCGGGGGACCACGGTGGGGGAAGCGGCGGTAGAAGGAGACGGACTCGTCAAAGGTGACGTCGCGAGAGTGAAAGAAGCGGTGAGACGGCGGGTGGTAGAAGTGCCAGTCGGACGCGTCAAGGGGGAAACCGAGGAAGACGCAGGGGAGGGTGCGGGCAGTGAGCTTGTCCGTGCCAGAGGCACGAACGTGAGCAAGGCAGCCCCAGACGTGGAACGCAGACGCGTCACCAGGGGACCCGGTCCACAGAAGGGTCGGCGAAACCGGCGGCCGCTGGGGGTGCGGCCACAGGTTAAGCTGGTGAGCGGCGTAGCGCGCGGCGAACGGCCACAGAAAATGGGGTGCACCGGCGTGGATCATGGAGGTGCGAGCCACCTCCATGACCAAACCGATGCGTCGCTCAGCGACCCCATTCTGCTGCGGGGAGTCCGGCAGGGTAAACGTCTGGGTGATGCCCTCTGCACGACAGAAGCGACCAAGGACACCTGAGGCAAACTCGCCACCCCGGTCGGAGTGGAGGCGCAAGGCAGGGAGACCGCGGTGGAGACGAGCAGAGACAAGCCAGGGGATGAGAACGTCAGGCACGTCGGCCTTCCGCTCCAGGGGAAAGACGGTGGTGTAGCGCGTGAAGTCGTCGACGAGCACTAGGAAGAAGCGCTCGCGACGCGGCCCATGGACCGGGGCTGGGCCCCAGACGTCCATGTGCAGAGTCTGCAGTGGTGCGGTGGTAGGGGGAAACGAGGAGGAGTGAGGGGCACGGCGGAGCCGGCCCTCGACACAAGGCGTGCACGGGGGGGCGGGGGAGGAGGGAAACTCGGGGAACGAACCGGGGAGACCAAGGACGAGACCGTGCTGGGACATGTGACGCAGACGCGGGAGCGCAGGGTGACCAAGGCGGTGGTGCCAAAGGAGAGTCGGGTGAGTGAGGGACCGACAGGAGCACGCAGCAGCAACCTGGGTGGACGCAGCGACCTGGGGGGAAGACCCAGCCGGGGAAGTCGCGGTGTCAAGTGTGAACAGGCCGGACACCGGGTCCCGGGGGAAAGTGGTAAGGGGGGCACCAGTGGCGGCCTCGGTACAGACAGCATACCGCTCGTGACCAGGGAACGTAGTGGTGACGCCAAGGTCCTGGAGGCAGCCGACACCAACTAGGTTCCTGGAGAACGAGGGGATATGCAGACCTGTAAGCGAACCTGAAGGAACCGCCGGACAGGGAAGGGAGGTGGAACTGCGGGCAACGACGGGACCACCGGAGGGGTCAGCAAGAGTAACTGCAGCGGGAACAGGCAGCGGCGTCAGCGTCGTGGAGTCGCGGAAGAAACACCGGGAGGCGCCAGAGTCTAAGGTGAAGGAAAGCGCAGCAGTCGCGCGAGGCGGCAGTGAAGCGGTGGAAGCACCGAGGCTAAGCAAAGCAGGAGATCCTACGCCTGACGCAGCAGGGGAGTCTACGACAGGCACATCTACACTAGGCAACACAGGGTAATAAGAGGGAAGCACACTAGAGTCATCAGCATACATCACATGCAAGGCTGCTACAATGGCATCCATGTCCAAGTCAAAAATCTGAATGCTACGCCTAAGCAAGCTGTGCCAGTCCGGGAGGTCGGGCGCCGGGCCAAAGCGCTGACGGAACAGGTCGTCCAGACGATGAAAACAGCGAGGAGTGGAATGACCGATCTTACCGCAAACGAAACCGCGGCGAGGACCGGTCTGGATCTGGTACTGACAGCGCCCGCCTCCAGAACCACCACCCGGCGCACCACCACGCGCACGACCACCACCAGCTCCAGGCCACCCAGGCGGGAGAGCACTCGCCTGCCTCGTCTGCGGCAGCTGGTGCGGCTGCTGCGGAGGCTGCGGCTGCGGCGACTGCTGCTGCTGCTGCTGCTGCGACTGTGGAGGCAGCGGGGCAGCTGGACTGGACAGGGTCCCCACGTCCGCACCGGTACTGGACGACCCGACTCCACCACCACCCCCACCCGCACCCCCGCCGCCTCCGCCGCTCCCAACCTTGGGGCGGCGGCCCTTCCCCGAGCGGGACTGCACTGCAGCAGCAGTCTCAGCCACAGCGACAGAGCCGTCGGAGAAGGTACACTGAGCGGGGGCACAACCCTGAAAGATAGGGACCGGTACTGTACCGCTCGCCTGGGCGATGGAGCGGTGACGAGTCTCTATAACAGTCAGGGTGTCAACAAAGTCAGTGAGGGTGAGAGCAGCGGGGTGGATGCTAAGGAACTGGTCGCGGGCGGCGGCAAGGCGGTCAGGGAGGCGGGTGGCAAGGAGGTAGAGGGTAGAGGTCATGGGAGGCTGGTGGACTCTAAGCTGTGCATCAGTGCAGGCAGCGCGCCAAGTCTCATCGATCGAGCGCAGGTGGGCAGCGAGGTCAGAGACAGTGGGGAAAGACGCAAGGTCAGGAAAGAGCAGGGGGAGGATCAGGCGACCCACTGAGGCAGCAGGAGGGGTAGAATAGCGCTTGATGACAGCATCGAGGTAGGCCTGGGCGGTAGTAATGGTTCTAAAGCGAGGGCGCTCAGGGGGGGGGAGGGCATTGCTAATGGCGAGCTGAGCAAGGGCATCGCGGGAAAGCCAGACAGAGCGGGCAAGGGCAGCGGCGGCAGTGGACTCGCGCTCAGCGGGCGTGGGATCAGCGGGCAGCACAGCAGGGGGGTCAGGGCAGGGAAGCATACCGTCTAGGTGGGCAGAAAGCGGGTGGCCGTCCTGCCGCTGACCAGTGAGGTGGCGGCGAAGGTCAGCCAACCACGCCTCGAACTCCAGAGGCTGACCCTCAGCATCAAAACGAAGCTCAGCAGCCATCAGGGGCAGTGTAGGACGGTGGAGTGCGGTGTAGTGCTGTGCAGTGCGGTGCAGGGCGGTGCAGTGCGGTGCAGTGCGATGCAGTGCGGTGCAGTGCGGTCCAGTGCGGCGCAGTGCGGTGCAGTGCGGTCCAGTGCGGTGCAGTGCGATGCAGTGCGGTGCAGTGCGGTCCAGTGAGGTGCAATGCGGTGCAAGGCGGGGCAGGGAAGTGCAGGAGGGTGCAAAGTGGTGCGGGGAACGGGGGACAGTACCAGGAAGTATGTAGGGCCGGGGCAGGCGCGACGGGACCGGGCAGGCGCGACGGGGCCGGGCAGGCGCGACGAGGGGCCAGGCAGACGCGACGGGGCCGGGCGGCTGCGACGGGGCCGGGCGGCTGCGACGGGGCCGGGCGGCAGCGACGAGGCCGGGCGGCTGCGACGGGGCCGGGCGTGCGTGACGGGGCCGGGCGGGTGCGGCGGGGCCGAGCAGGTGTGACGGGGCCCAGGAGGGGCGCGACGGGGCCCAGGAGGGGCGCTACGGGGCCCAGGGAGGAGCGCGGCACGGCCCAGGAGGGGCGCTAAGGGGGGGGGCCCAAGAGGGGCGCGACGGGGGGCCCAGGAGGGGCGCGACGGGGGCCCAGGGAGGGGCGCGACGGGGGCCCAGGGAGGGGCGCGACGGGGGCCTGGGAGGGGCGCGACCGAGCCCAGAAGGGGCGCTACGAAGCCCTGGAAGGGGCGCGACGGGGCCTGGAGGGGCGCTACGAAGTCCTGGAAGGGGCGCGACGGGGCCTGGAGGGGCGCTACGAAGCCCTGGAAGGGGCGCGACGGGGCCTGGGAGGAGCGCGACGGGGCCTGGAAGGAGCGCGACGGGGCCTGGGAGGAGCGCGACGGGGCATGGGAGGAGCGCGACGGGGCCTGAGAGGAGCACGACAGGGCCCAGGAGGGGCGCTAAGGGGCCCAGGAGGGGCGCGACGGGGCCCTGGAGGGGCGCTACAGAGCCCAGGAGGGGCGCGACGGGGGCCTGGAGGGGCGCTACGAAGCCCTGGAAGGGGGCGCGACGGGGCCTGGAGGGGCGCTACGACGACCTGGAAGGGGCGCGACGAGGCCTGAGAGGAGCACAACGGGGCTAGGGGGGGGGGGAGTCGCGAATGGGCTCAGGAGGGGCGAGGCTAGGCTAGGAGACGCGACGGGAGGAGCGGAAGCGGTAGGTGGGGGGGGGGGGGGGGGGTCGAAACCTACGCGTGATACCATCTCAAAACTAGAATTAAATTTTTTATGATAGAGTTAGAGAGTACATGCACATATACCTAAATGTTGTACCCTCTAGGAGGTTACCCTATACAGTCTATACAAACATGATCAATAAACATGTTTGACATGTACGTCACTTGGGGTCTCATACTGAGTTAAAAAGTGTCTTATAAACGGAGAGGCCGAATACAAGATAGACGCCTAAAACAAGACATAGTGTCTTGTATTCCATGGGGGTCTCCTATCCGGGCGTTTACGGTACATCGTGGTGCAACATGCTACATCGTGGTAAAACATGCTACATCGTGGTGCCTACAATGAGCTGCTGCACACTCTGTGGTACGCTTCTCTCTCCCCGTCCATCCTACGATCTGCAATAGTGACAGCAGAGGGGGGAGGGCGAGGCAAGAGCAGGCAAGGGGAAAGTTGGATAAACAATACCTTAAGAGTTATGGCTCAAGAAACCTGTGCACACACTTTGCTTGTCCTGATCATGCTCGCATGCTCGTCCTCACCTGAATTGTCCAGACTTGGCGGCAGAGTGATCTCCACTAGTGCCGATTGGATTCGGCCCGGCAGTTTGACTCCCCTGTGCCTCGCACTGGCATGCAGCGCCCGGCCAATCATGTTCCACGCCACTGTGGCCGCCTCGTCACACACCACCTCCCGCTCCTCCCTCCTCCTCTCCTCTTCCTCCTCCCTCACCCTCTCCCTCTCCTCTACTGCTCTTCCACCGTCTTCACTTCTCCATCTCGCATCCATCCCCTCGGTCTGCCCTGCCTGCTCCCTCGCCCGCTGCCCCCAACTCCCTCCAAACGCATCAGCAGCTCTTCGCTTCCTTCCCCCCACCCTCTCAGCAGGCGGCCCCTCATTGGCTGCATCTCCCCCAACGTTCACGTCAGCTGCCAGCCTGTCATGTCCTCCTGCCAGGAAGGTAGATAGACCCCAAGGGTCGCTGCTGGCCCTTGCGCTGCTCTCCTCTGCTGCACCTGCTGCTGCCTGGCCAGCAGGTCGGCTACCACTGTCAGCCACAGCAACACCAGCAGCACCAGCAGCAGCAGTGCTGCAAGCAGCACCGGACCCCGCCCTTGCAGCCACAGCAGCAGCTCTGGCGTCAGCAGCAGCAGCAGCGGCAGCAGGCTGCGAGTGCGAGAGCAGGGCGCTCAGCCGCAGCACCGCTTCCACCGCTCCTCCAACCACCTGCCCCCCCTCTGACCTCTCCCCATCCCCCAACTGCTTTCCTCTTTTTCCCAACCCCTTTCCCCTGCCTCCCCCCCGTCCCCCCTTGCCTCCCCTGCTGCCCCCCTCCCCCTGACCCTGACTGGGCCCTTTGCGCCCTGCTCGCACGGGCGTTGGGTCTGCAGGCAGCAGGCGGGCAGAGGTGGCGAGAAAGCGACACATGGCCTGCGGGGGGTTGCGGGTGGGGGAGGGAGGGTGAGGCAGAGATAGGCGCAGGGAGAAGGAGACTTGACAGGAGAGCGGGGAGAAATGAGGCACAGCCCTCACGACAGGCAGTGAGCGAATGAAATGTGAGGCAGAGCGTGGGATGAGGAGGGTAGGAGGAACGGGGATGAGGAGGGTAGGAGGAACGGGGATGAGGAGGGTAGGAGGAACGGGGATGAGGAGGGTAGGAGGAACGGGGATGAGGAGGGTCGGAGGAACGGGGATGAGGAGGGTAGGAGGAACGGGGATGAGGAGGGTAGGAGGAACGGGGATGAGGAGGGTCGGAGGAACGGGGATGAGGAGGGTAGGAGGAACGGGGATGAGGAGGGTCGGAGGAACGGGGTACCTGGAAGGCAGAAGGCGAGGTGAGAGCTCTGGCGTCCGATTCCAGCAGTGTGCTGTTGGGATGGCGGGGCACGTTGGCAGCACGCACACAACCCACCAACGGCACGCACACAACCCACCAACAGCACGCACACAACCCACCAACAGCACGCACACAACCCACCAACGGCACGCATTCACAGGTGAGCATCAATAGGATGCATCCAAAGACTTGGACCGTGTGAGGGGCTAGGGAGGCCGAAAGAGCTGGGGAGATCAGATCAACGGCCCAGGGAAACATGGCGTGGGGCATGAGCCTCCAGCCACAGCAGGCATACCCCTTATAGTAGTACTCGTCAATCTTCTGAAAGACATCCACGTCCTGTGGCCACTGTTGCGCCACAAGCCTGCAGCAGGTGCAGTCACGCACACAGACACGCACACAGACACGCACACAGACACATGAGCACGGATGCCATAGTGGGGTGAAGTCCTACTGTTCGAAACCCTGAACCCTCAACCCCGTTACACCTTCATCCGCTCAAGTCGGGGCCCCCTTCAAGTCTCCTTCTCCCCCAAACCCCTCTACCCCGCCTAGACCCCTCCACCCCACGAAAACCCCTCAACCCTGCTTAAACCCTGTAACACGCCCTGTGAAGCACGCACTTGCATCGCAGGCGGCCCTCCTCGTCGCCCCGCAGCACCTGGTTGGCCAGCGACCGGCTCTCCAGCGCCGCCTCCACCGGCACCTGCAACCCCCCGCTGCCGCCCCCCTTGCTGCCGCCTTCCCCAACACGGCCTCCGCCATGCCCCGACAAGCCCACCCATTCCTCCCCCTCCCCCAAACCTAGCCCTGTTGCATGCGGAGCCTCTGCTTCTGGTTCGGAATCATCGCCGCGGCGGCTGGGCTGGTTATACTCGTCAGAATCCTCTGATTCTGCCGACGTGTCGCGTGGCGATTTGCTGCTGCGTGCGCGCTGTGGGGATGGCGTGCTAAAGCCATGGGAGCTAGTGGCAGCGCGGTGTGACTGTAACGGGGGCGAATCAGCCCTATTATGTTCATCGTGATCCCTGTAGTCCTCATTTTGCTCCTCTCTCCGCCACGCATCCTCTCCCCCATCCTCCCCCGCTTCCGCATCCTCATCCTCTTCCGCGCCCCCATCGTTTCCGCCATCGTCCCCGCCACCCCCCCCAGCGCCATCTCCGCCATAGTTCCCGCCCTCGTCCCCGTAATCGTCCCCGCCGCCCTCCTCCTCTTCCGCCGAACAATCCCCCGATGCGGGGCGAGTGGGGAGCGGAAACGCGTCGATCAGGCGGGAGGGAGAGAAGCGGGAGGGGGAGAAGCGCGGGAAGGAGGCGGTGGCGGAGGGAGAGGGCGGGGAGGGTGGCGCGCGGGGTTGGTTGCGGTAGGAGGCGGAGGGGGAGACGAAGAGGAAGTGCGGGACGGAGGCGTTGGAGGGGGAGGGGGGCGCGTCCATCGCGGAGGCAAGGGGAGCGGAGGGCTCGGGCGCGTGTGACGGCGATGTGGCGGCTGGCACGGCGGGAGTGGCGGAGGAATGGGGTGCGCGGCTGAAATGGTGGTACTGTAAGACGTGAGGTGAGGCCAACCCTCGCGGCTGGAGGTCGACTGCACGAAGGGGGATGATGATGTGCTGCTGGTAGGTGCATTGCCGCGCTCATTTCGCACGCGTCGGGATTTGTGCTTTACTGACGTGAGCATTCGTTTCAAACACTACAGCGGTTAGAAATACTTTGAGTGAACTTAGAAATACTTTTACAACGGCTCAAGTTGGAATGGAACAAGCGGCAGTAGAACCAAAACCAAAGAAAGGCCAAACCCATGCATGGTTGACGCACGGTACATGGCACACTGCACAAAAGCTCTATTGAATGCATGCAGCCATGAGCTAGCCACGGCCACCACGGAAGCCACCGCCCCTCCCCCTGAAGCCCCCTCCACCCCCCCGGAATCCCCCGCCTCCCCCTCTCCCCCGGAACCCGCCTCCGCCCCCTCTTCCCCCGCCCCTGAATCCCCCTCGCCCCCCTCCACGCCCTCCCCTCCCTCCCCGCCCTCCAAATCCCCCTCTCCCCCCTGCACTGGCGCCCCTGCACTCGTGAGAGGGGGGAGAGGAGAGGGGGGCGGGGGGGGGACGGGGGAGGGAGCAGCAGAGGGAGACAAAAAGAGAGAGATGAGGCAAGGAAAGCAGGAGCTGCTGGCCGGGGGCCCTGTGCCAAAAAGGCGCCTATTCCCACAATGCAATGCAACAAGCATTCACACCATTCATACCATTCGCACCACCCAGCTCCACCCATTGACAAACCCAGCACCGTGGTGGCCTGCCCCGTGACTCACTTGGGCTGCGGCAGGAAGCGCTGCAACGGCAGCAGCTTCATGGGGTCGATGAAGAACTTGTCGCCGGGGGAATAGGAGGTCGCCACGATGCCCTCCTGCATCTTGATCGAGAAGTACTGCCAGGGCGGGGGAAGGGGGGGGGATGGCGGGGAGGAGAGGAAAGGAGGCAACGCGCAGGGAGTGGTGGTTGCCCAGGCGAAACGACACTCCGGAACCCAAGGCAAGGCCAGGCGAAAGACGCGGGTAGAAGGAACATTGTCGCGCCTTGGCGGCCTCACCTGCCTCGCGCTGCATCTCCCGCGTGCCCCGCATCACATTCCCCGCCCTGCCTTCCCGCAACTCACCGCCTCCTTAATGGGGCCGAAAACCTCCTCGACCTTGCCCCACGCAGCTTCCCCCCCCCCCTTTCCCCCTTCCCCTTCCCCCCCGTTCCTAAACCCCCCACCCCCCCCCCCCTTCCCCCCTTCCCAATTCCCCGCTCTGTTTCCCCATCCACCCGCCACCGCTGTGCACGCACCGCCTCGTTGATGGGCCCGAAGATCTCCTCAACCTTGCCGATCTGCGTCTTGTTTTCGAGGTAGATGGGCGCGTTGAAGTACGGCACCTTGTCGCTCGTCAGCCGCGTCACCGCCTCACCCTCGCACGCGTGCAGGAACGTTGACACCTCTGCCGGGTGACGGGGATAGGGAGGGGGAGCGGGGAAGAGCGCGGGCGCAGGTGGCGGCACAAGGGCGGTGAGGAGAGGAGACGAGAAGCGCATTGGGGCAGAGCAGCCACCGCGACAAACGTTGCGAGCGCAACGAGGGCCGCGGCCATCACGTGAATACCTCCACTAGCATTGCACTGCACCGTGTAGCTGCTAGTGCTCCTGGAAACGGCTCAGCGCCTCGCACTACGGAGAAAGCAGGGGGGAGGGGGGAAGAAGGAAATTGTGCATTGGGATGGAAGGGAGAGCATGAGAGAGAGGTAAGGAGTGGGATACAACAGCAAAGATCAGGCCTCTAAGGGTTCCGCTCCCTGCATTACCCTCGTCGCCACGCGCCGTAGGCCACTGCTTACCGACGACGTGGGACGGCGGCCCCTCATCTCGTTGGAACCCGCCCCTCCCGCCGCCTCTTCCGCCAAACCCCCCTCCGCGCCCGCCGAATCCGCCGCCCCTCCCCCGGAACCCTCCGCCACGGGGTGGCCGCATGCTGCGCTAAGATCTCTTAAGGCTCTGAAACCGCGGAGAGCGAAGCAGACAAGAGCGGCGTGCGATCCAAGGCGCGGCTAAAACCCCGCACCCCGCAACAGGAGCTTAAGGCGGTGTCGCTGAGCAACGAGCTAATTCCTGTCGACGAATAATCGTCCTATTCGCAAATCTCCTAAGGATGAACTACGTGGCACCGTGGCGGTTCGGCGCGCAGCAGCAATACTGAGGACGAAAAGAGACCAACCTAACGACAGTGGTGGAAGGATATGGCTGTACTCGAGGCAGGGGAGCACGAGAGGTTCGCTGTAAGGAGGACCGCTTAGCCCCGGGGCTGATGAACAGAATACACGAAAGGGAAAAAACATCATATTTCGCTTGGGAAAGGGAATAAGCAGATTTTATTCGGGGCCTAACGTAATGCAATACTGTATCATATTTCGGTAGAGCCCTTCAAGCATAACGAGATTTCCATCCTTTTACATCATCAATCGGTATGGCATACTCCTACACCACGGATAATTTGGGGGTACGAATGTGAATATGCCAAATGCTTTTGCATTTCTGTGGACACTCAATTCGCGAGTACAGACCACCACATTCCATCCACATCGAACAAGCGCGTCGTCCGCAACAGGCGCCAGATCCCCGCTCTTGGATCGTGGCCTCCGTTTAGTTTATCACCATAAACTTCCCGCGTTAGGAGATTTTTGCTGGCTCGCTCGTAACGGTGCGTTAGCAGGGGTAGCAACGCCGGATGCAACAGAGCCATGGGCAGAGGCGGGGATAAGGACAGGCCGCTACGGGTGGTGTCGCTGCTGGGCGCGGCGAGCGAGGTGGTGGCGGCGCTGGGCTTGGAACGCCTGCTGGTGGGGCGCTCGCACGAGTGCAAGTTCCCGCCGTCCGTGCGCGCGCTGCCGTGCGTGTCGTCGCCCGCGCTGGGCCCGGATCTCGAGCAGCAGAGCTGCGCCACGGTGCACGACAGGGTGGGTAGCGGGGAGATGCCCTCTCGAAGATGGTGCAACGATCGTCGACGGCGTTGGGTGCATTCCGATCGGCTTCCCGCGAGGGCATTCTCATTCACGCTCGTGTCGTCTCCCCCGTCCCCCTCGTAAACCCGAAACCGCAGCTGTCGGAGCGCGTGCGCAGGGGCCTGTCGCGGTACCACGTGGACGTCGAGGCGATCAGGCGCCTGCAGCCGGATGTGATAATAACTCAGGATGCGTGCGACGTGTGCGCCGTGACTGTATCGGACCTCGAGGCGGCCTGCACCGAGTACTTCAAGCAGCGCGACGACGCGGGAAGCGCGTGCCACGTGGTGTCGCTGCGGCCAATCACCGTGTCCGACGTGTGGGAGAACATGCTTCAGATTGCTGAGGCCGTCGGCCACACGGAGGAGGGCTGCGCGCTCGTACAAGCGCTACAGGCGCGCTGGTCGCTCGTGCGCCAGCAGGTTCCGCTCCGCGGAGCCCCCCCGCGGGTGGTGTGCGTGCAGTGGCTGCAGCCGGTCATGGGCGCGGGGTACTGGGTTCCCGAGATCGTCGCGTGCGCTGGGGGGGAGAGCCACTCAGGGAAGGTGAGATGCAGGGGGAGCTGTGTGGGGCAGTATCTTGATCATGGGCACGGGGGAAATGGCAAGGGGGAATGTGGGGCCCTTTTCCCCAGCGTCCACCCTTGGTGCACTTGCAGTGGCTGCACCAGTCCCAATATCCCCCCTCTCAATGCCCCCCCCCCCCCTTCTTGCCTCTTTCAGCCGGGGGATCGCACGGCCATGCTCTCTCTAGAAGCGCTGCTATCGCTAGACCCGGACGTCATCGTGGTCATGTGCTGCGGGCTGCCCGTGGAAGCCATTCTCAAGAATCTCCTCACCTGCGAGGACCTCCCCCAGTGGAACCGCCTGCGAGCCGTGCAGACGGACGCCGTGTTTGTGGCGGACGGCGACCGCTACTTCAACAACTCGGGGCCCACCATAGTGGACTCCGCAGAAATCATGCTCGAGATTCTCCACGCGCGCCGCTTCCAACAGCACAGAACCCCATCAGACCGCACTGATGCAGCCGCTGCCGCTGCCGGTGATGCTGGTGTGGCTGACACCTCTGCCTCGCTGCCCTGCTCCAACGGCCTTGTGGGTGGGGAAGGCACGGAATCCCCCAAGATTGAGGTTAAGCATGAGGGGAGGGCGTACATACAGTTAACGGGCGGGCGGGTGGAGGCCTGGCACGCTTGTGACAGACGGCCGAGGGATTAACCTGGGGGGTTGGGGAGGAGGGGACGGGGGGAGAGGAAGGGGTGGCGGGGAAGGCTGGATTGTGGAAAGGGGAGGGGATGAATGCGCCAAGTGGTAGGCGGAGGAGGGCCGGCAGTAAGTTGAGAATCTGCTGCCTAACAGGGTGCTGTTCTGTGTGGGAGCCCACTCAACTGGAGCGAGAGGGGTGAAGGTAGAGCTGGGCGGCAGTAGGCAAACGGCTGCAACAGGCTTGTTGCGGGCGCACTGTGGGAGCAAACAGGGGATGGCAATCATGGCGATGCATCAAGGCACAATGCAGGTCGTTCGTGCCATAAGCCAAGGGTGCACGAGCGAAAGGAGGGCATGCCGCTATAAAGAGTTTTGCAAATCGAAGCAGATGGTCTCAAAATATATATATTTATATATGTGTGTGTAGGCTAGGTAGGTGTTCTATCTTAGAACTGAAGAGTTTGAATGGAGAGAGAGTACAAGGGTTTATACCTAAGAGTGTTGTACCCTCTAAGAGGCGACCCTATACAGTCTATACAAACATGAGTTATGCTTATGTTTGACACACCCCCTAGACTGCATAGGGGAATGACCTGAACAAGCAGCTCAGGGCGGCACTACTAGTCCAACCTCTGAGACAAGGGTCTAAAAGACCAGTCAGACGGAGTTGAGACAAGGCAAGAACAAGACCAGGGCGGCACTACTAGTCCAGCCACTGGGAGAGGACACAAGTCCAGTCTGAGTATGCATATAAAGGACAGTACAAAGTCAAGGCCCTAGCAAGTGAGAGGCTACAGGAACTAGACCAAGCTGTACGCAGTGCCGCTGATGATCTTTAGGCGCAAGCGCCTTCGTAAAGATATCAGCTGTGTTGGCACCTGAGGCCAAGTGTACTACGCGAGCCTGGCGTCGCTGCTGTAGCTCGCGCAGGAGGAAGTATCGCAGCTGAATATGCTTCGCTCTGCCCTCGAGTCGAGGCTCCTGACACAGGAGGATCATGGCCCTGTTGTCAGCGAACAGGACCGGGGCAGAGCTAGGCCGCTCACCTAAGTCAGTGAGCAAGAAGGTCAGCCAGCGGAGCTCCTGTGCCGCCATGGCACCAGCGTAGATCTCAGCCTCACAGCTGGACTGGGCAACAGACGAGGAGCGGGTAGCTCTCCACGAGACGGCACCTGAGCCAAGGCTGAAGCAGTAGCCCTGGGTAGACCTGAGTGTCTCAGCGTCGTCTGCCCACGAAGCGTCTGTGTGTCCAGTAAGGACCACTGACCTGCGTCCTCCTAGCACTAACCCCATGCCCGATATACTAGCAAGATAACGCAAAACCCCCTTAGCGGCAGACCAGTGCTGCGGTCGGTGTCTGCCTGCGGCCACAAAGCGAGCCAGGATGCTGAGAGGGTACGCGAGATCTGGGCGAGTGCAAGTCATCAGGTACATGAGGCAACCCACCAGCTCTGCGTAGGGGCCGCTGGGCTCTACCGACTCCTCAGACACTGGAGCGGAGAGTTTGTGGTCTACAGGCAGAGGGGTGGGCTGTGCAGAGGAGAACTGAAGGCTGAACCTCTGAAGGACCTGGTGCACCAAGTGTGACTGAGTCAGGGTGATGGTGCGCGCTGCTCTGTCCCTGGAGATCTGCAAGCCAAGGTAACGGCGCAGTTCTCCAAGGTCAGTGCACGTGTGTCTCTTCAGCAGCTCTGCCTTCACGGAGGCTAGTGCGTCCCTGTCTGCTGTGGCAAAGACCAGGTCGTCGATGTAAACAAGGATGTAGAATGGAGTCTGGCCAGTACGAACGAAGAGTGAGAGGTCGGCGGAAGGCGGAAAGAACTGCAGGTCAACAAGCGTAGCACGGAGAGTGTCGTGCCACTCACGGGGAGCCTGGCGCAGGCCGTAGACGGGGCGCCGCAGGAGCCACTGGGTCCCAGGAGGGAAGGTGCCAGTAAAGCCCTGAGGGCGACGCAAGTAGACCTGCTCGTGTAGGCTGCCCTGAAGGAAGGCAGTGGAGAAGTCGAGGGAGTGAAGCTCGTAGTCACGCTGAGCAGCTAGGTGTAACAGAACCCGAAGAGTAGTCATCTTCGGGGTCGGAGCGAAGGTCTGGAAGAAGTCCACCCCCTCACGCTGACTGAAGCCTCTAGCCACGTAGCGCGCCTTGAACACAGGCGGCTCTCCAGGAGGGCGCTTCACCTTGAAGAGCCAGCGGCCATCGACTACGTTCACCCCAGGCGGGGGAACTGCGTCGACGAAGGTGCCGGTGGATCTCCAAGATGCCATCTCCTCCTCCATGGTAGCTATCCACTGAGAGGCCCAAGGTCCTGAGGTCGCCTCAGCGTAAGTGCGAGGGGTCGGGATGTCAAAAGCGTCTGGGTCACCCTCAGGGACTAGCAGCATGGAACAGAGATGGGGAGCAGCCTCGGACAGGAAAGCAAGCTCAAACTGGCGGTCCTCTAGGACGTCACTGCCGAGGGCAGGAGTACCCCCGACAGACGGAGGACAGGCAGGGTCAGAGACCAGAGCGGTGGCGTAGTCAAGGCGGCGGGTAGAGGCGAAGTCAGCGACCGCAGCAACAAGAGCGTCAAAGCACGAGACCGGAACAGACGGGTCGGTAACGAGAGAGGCAAGGACCCGAGGAACAAGAGGACGAGCGGCACGAAGGTAGTCAGACAGCGGGGGGGGTGCAACAACAAGGGAGGACGGAGGAGGCGACGGGAGAAGGGGAGGACGAGACGCGTGGGAACGAAGCAACATAGGGTGGGAGCGCAAGACAGGCGAGGCAGGACGAGCACGGGAGGGACGGTGAGACCAGACGTGCGACGGAGGAGTCGGGTCAGGAGACAGGGGAGGGGACACAGGAGGGGAACGAGGAGGAAGACGGGCCGGGGACGAGTCCGGCGGAGGGAACACAGGGCCGTAGACGGGAAGAGGAGGAGACGGGCGGAGAGGAACAGCCGCAGGGTCAGGGGACGGAAGGCCGAGCAGGCGAAGGGCTGACACCGGCGGGGACTGCTGCTGCGGCGGCACAACGGCGACACCGGGACTGCAAGCGGCACCGCGGCTACCACCGGCACACTCCACACCAGCACCCCCAGAGGATCCACCCCCAGGGCTACCGGGACTAGCACCCCCAGAGTCAACGAACGGGTGCTGCGACGGCGGCGGCGGCGGCGACAGCGACAACGACGGCTGCAGCGGCGGCAGAGGCGGTGGAGGAGGGGACTGGGGAGGGGACGCCGGGGGAGGGGCGGCCGGCGAGGACTGCGCAGCAGAGCCACCAGAGTCAGCGAGCCACCTCCATGACCAAACCGATGCATCGCTCAGCGACCCCATTCTGCTGTGGGGAGTCCGGTAGGGTGAACGTCTGGGTGATGCCCTCCGCACGACAAAAGCGACCAAGGACACCTGAGGCAAACTCGCCACCACGGTCGGAGTGAAGACGGAAGACAGGGAGACCACAGTGGACACGCGCAGAGACAAGCCAGGGGATGAGAGCGCCAACCACGTCGGCCTTGCGCTCCAGGGGAAAGACTGTGGTGTAGCGAGTAAAGTCGTCGACTAGCACAAGGAAGTAGCGCTCGCGACGCGGCCCAGGGACGGGGGCGGGGCCCCAGACGTCCAGGTGCAGGGTCTGCAGCGGCGCGGCGGTAGGGGGAAACGAGGAGGAGTGAGGGGCACGGCGAAGCCGACCCTCGACACAAGGCGTGCAAGGTGGGGCTGGGGAGGAGGGAAACGCGGGGAGAGAACCTGGGAGACCAAGGACAAGACCGTGCTGGGACATGTGACGCAAACGCGGGAGCGCAGGGTGACCTAGGCGGTGGTGCCAAAGGAGAGTCGGGTGAGTGAGGGACCGACAGGAGCAGGCAGCAGCAACCTGGGTAGACGCAGCCACCTGAGGGAGCGCTCCAGCCGGGGGGGTCACAGTGTCCAGAGTGAACAGGCCGGACACCGGGTCCCGGGGGAACGTGGACAGGGGGGCACCTGTGGCGGCCTCGGTACAGACAGCATACCGTTCGTGACCAGGGAACGTAGTGGTGACGCCAAGGTCCTGGAGGCAGCCGACACCAACTAGGTTCCTGGAGAACGAGGGGATATGCAGACCTGTGAGAGTGCCCGAAGGAACCGCCGGACAGGGAAGGGTGGTGGAACTGCGGGCGACTACCAGACCGCCGGAGGGGTCAGCAAGAGAAACGGCAGCAGGAACAGGAAGCGGCGTCAGTGTGGTGAAGTCGCGGAAGAAACACCAGGAAGCACCAGAGTCCAAGGTGAAGGAAAGCGAAGCAGAGGCGTCTGGCGACGGAACGACGGCGGAAGCACCAAGACTACACAAAGCAGGGGGTCCTACGCCTGACGCAGCAGGGGAGGCTAAGCTAGGCACACCTACACTATCCGACTGTGAGTAATAAGCGGGAAGCACACTAGAGTCAGCAGCATACATCACATGCAGAGCAGAAACAATGGCATCCATGTCCATGTCAAAAATCTGAATCTTACGACTAAGCAAACTGTGCCAGTCCGGGAGGTCTGGCGACGGGCCGAAGCGCTGACGAAACAGGTCGTCGAGGCGACGAAAACAGCGGGGAGTGGAGTGACCGATCTTACCGCAAACGAAACCGCGGCGAGGACCGGTCTGGATCTGGTACTGACAACGCACGCCTCCAGAACCACCACTCGGCACACCACCATGCGCCCGACCACCGCCAGCGCCGGGCCACCCGGGCGGGAGGACACTCGTCTGCCGCGTCTGCAGCGGCTGCTGCGACTGCGGCGGCTGCTGCGGCTGCTGCTGCTGCTGCTGCGACTGCAGGGGCGGCGGCTCAGCTGGACTGGGCAGGGTCCCCTCGTCCGCTCCAGCACCAGACGACCCGACTCCACCACCACCCCCTCCCGCACCCCCGCCTCCTCTGCCGCGCCCAACCTTGGGGCGGCGGCCCTTCCCCGAACGAAACTGCGCTGCAGCAGCAGTCTCAGCCACAGCGGCAGAGCCGTCGGAGAAAGTACACTGAGCGGGGGCACAAACCTGAAAGATAGGGACCGGCACGGTACCGCTCGCCTAGGCGATGGAGCGGTGGCGGGTCTCAATCACAGTCAGGGTGTCTACAAAGTCAGTGAGGGTGAGGTCTGCGGGGTGAATGCTAAGGAAGCGGTCGCGGGCGACAGCAAGGCGGTCAGGGAGGCGGGTGGCAAGCAGGTAAAGGGTAGAGGTAATGGGCGGCTGGTGGGCTCTAAGCTGTGCGTCAGTGCAGGCAGCGCGCCAGGTCTCATCTATCGAGCGCAGGTGGGCAGCGAGGTCAGAGACAGTGGGGAAAGACGCAAGGTCAGGAAAGAGCATCGGGAGGATCAGGCGACCCACCGAGGCAGCCGGAGGGGTGGAATAGCGCTTGATGACAGCATCTAAGTAAGCCTGGGCAGTAGTGAGGGACCTAAAGCGGGGGCGCTCGGACGGGGGAAGGGCATTGCTAATGGCAAGCTAAGCGACAGCATCCCGAGAAAGCCAGACAGAGCGCGCACGGG